TATACTAAACAGTTGCTTCATATCTTTAGGACATATATCTGTTATGATGTAAAAGAAATCATTTATCAACTTTAAAAAAGTGATAAATAATGTGATGTAATTTTAAAAAAAAGTTACATTTATGAGAGCGTTAAATTTACCATGCTGGCTTGGTTTATATTATATATTGAAAATGTATGCATTTTCATTGAGCAATTTTTAGAGGATTATTTGGTAATGCTTAATTCAACTTTGCTTTGAATATTTTATATTATTGAAATTTATTTGTAAATGGGAGAAGGAAAAAAAAAATGCCTATCACTGGGAATTTTTATAAATTCTTAATCATAATTTGCTTTTATTTTTTTGAAATATCAATGATAAATCTATAGATATGATTTTTGGTGCCTTAAGTTATTTCATTTTAACTTTTCTAATAGAATAGATATTTCTTCAATTAATTAAATTAATTGAAAAGTTGATATTTTAAAAGTCTTTCTCATGATATTAAAAAAATTTTTCCCAATGAATGTAATTAAAAATATTTGAAATCTAAAATTCTAATCAATCCTTTATTATTATTTCCTTATTCTACCAGTTTTTTTTTTTATTGTCTATTTAATGCTGAAATTAGTTTGTATTTCTTTTTTCATAAAAATATTGGAAAACTTCTTCCTTTCACGCTGATGAAAGTGATCAATAATTTTGTCACTTTTAAATTTCTCTTTTCCTTTATTCTCTGACGCTGATAAATACGTTCATTTACACTTTTACATTTATTTTACTTGCAATTTTGTCTTTCTTTCTTTTGTTTTCTAATTTATAAGGAGAAAATTTTTTGACATGAAACGATTAATTACATGATTAAAATTTCTCGATCTTTCTTAAATTAGTCTAATTATTGCCTGCTTCAAAAAATATTTTAATTCCATTCTAATTGAATGAATATTTAACTTTTCAGGTAAAATGATAGTATTTGTTTCAAAAGATTTTAAAAATTATTTCATCAGCATTCTTCACATATCTTTGCAATTTTACTGATCTAATTATTTCAAATTTAATTTAAGATTTTACGGTGTTGTAACGTAGCATTGTCGAAACGTCATGAATTTGCCTAATATATTATTTATAGTATATTTGCATAATTTAGGTCGCTTCAATAGTAGAATTGCATATTTTAAATTAGTTCGCTTTTGGATTTGACAGCTAAGATTATTTAGTTATTTCGGTGATGGTTTTTCTTGAATGTTAGCATCTTGCTTTTTTTTTAGGTTAAATTATTCTTAAAATTTTTCAAAAAAAATAAGATAAAGCTGCTTGCAAGTTAACAAGGAAATATTATTATTTGATCGTCATCTTCAGATATTTCTTGAAATTTACGAAAAGTTTTAATTTTCAATCTTGATTTAACATTTATTTAACATTCTGTTGAAAATTGAGATTTGAATGGAATTGTATTATCATCTTTAACATTACTTTCATCAAATAACATCAACAATATCATTAATACATGCTCTACTTTCTGAACAATTGTCAGCGAGCCGATCTCAATTATTTTTCTCACAGTTGTCGTCTAAATGATGACAAAGTTCTACTCAAATTTCAATTCTCAGCATTTCAACATTCTTCAATTTAGAACAGCAGTTAGCTGAAAAAAAAAAAGCATTGTTCAAACTATTTGAAAAAACGAAATTTTTTTTAACGCTATTATTTTAGCACACTTATGAAAAATTCATTCTGATGGAGAAATTTGTTTAAATCATCAAAATGATTTTATTACTTACTTGAAATGTTGAAATGGCTTTCTGATCTTTCAAATCATTTCATAATCCTTTCATTTTTCCTCATAATCAAAATTATTTCCTTTCGGTTTTTGAAAAATTTAGAATAAAAAAACTTTTCAAATATTTAATTTAAACCACTTATAAAAATGATATGCATGCAAAAAATCATGAATTAAATTTCAAACAAAAAATTTTTCAGAAAATTTGATGATTGTCAAATGAATAACTAACTGTTCATTCTTTGACATTCATTTTCTATTATAACATTTAGCATTTCATCAATTCATTTCTAATTTTGAAAAAGAAAATAAGCATATAAGATTTAAAAAAGGAATGTCTTTTAGAGATA